ACTACATCATTGGATTTCTGACATTGCAAATTCTTTAGGGAAAAAGATATTGTTGACAAGGAAATAGTGTTGATCGGATTTCTTGGATACATTATTGATAATTGGAGTGATAATAAGAAATTGGGGAATGAGCTATAATAATTAATAATAACAATTAGGAATAATAATTAGCAGCAATAATTATTTTTTATTAGTTATAATAATAAATATTAGCAATTAAAAATAATAATTAATAATTATTATTGACAATAATTAGTAATAACAACTAATCATAATAATTAATTACAATTAGTAATAATTATTAATAACTGTTATAATAATTAATAACAGTAATTAGTGATAATAATTGATAATAAAAATTAATAATAATCGTTGATAATAATAATTAGTAATAAATAATAACTAATAATTAATAATAATAGTTAATAATAAATAATTAGCATCAATAATTAATAATTAATAATATAATAATAATATTGATTAACAATTAATAATTAATAATAACGATAATAATAATTAATAGCAGTAATTATAATTAATATTATTATAATAATTTCATCAGTTCAATACATTATCTCTTCGTCACTAATGACTGATCGGAAAAAAGACCGATAAAAAGGAATACTTTTAAATTTAAGAATAAAACATAAAATTCAATTTGTCAAAAACTTTTTTCATCACATCATGTTGTTATTCTTGATCGCCTCATTTGACATATTTTTTACATCGATCGTAACACATCTAATCATTATTGTTAACGTATACAATTCATTATTCTTATCATTCATAATACATTTTAATTAGGATAATTAGATATGAATTAAAAGAACAATATATGAATAGATGGAAATAGATATAATTGTAAAGTATTGATGAAAAGGAATCGATGTGTTTGGTTGGAATGGGATAAAATCGATCAGTCTTCAAATATTGATAAATTTCGGCATTTTACCATTGACCCTATTTATCTGTACCGATCACGATCCCTGTTACAATCTTTTATTCCCCATTTCCTTACCTGTTCATTTTCATAACTAACATATTTCCTACAATCATTTATCATTCATATAGTTTCTTCTTATCACATTCACCAATCAGTTATCATCATTATAAATCGCCCTTTTTTTCCCTTGATTCTACTCTTCCTTCCAACTTTAAACATTTTCGAAATTATTCAATTCCATAATTGAATAATGAAATACAGGAAATGATGAAGAAGAAATATAAATATTTTCATGCATGATAGTTTATTTCAAAGAATGAGAATAAAGAATATGAATACGGGAATTGATCAAATTCGATTAAAATTTATATCCTGGATGATAGAACGAGTTTCTATTATCCTAAATTTAATTCAATACTTTAATTTAATATCCTAAATATTGTCCAGTTATTTCCTACTGTGGGAATAATTTAAGTAAATGTTATCCAAGTATGTGTATTAAATATGTGCATTATGTGTATTATTGTATGTGTATTAAATTAGGGGTTAAATTGCTGATAAAAGTTCAAAAGCTGATAAAATCAAAATTGAACAGTGAACATTGAACAAACTGAAATTAAACATTAAAAAATTATTAAATGCAACATTAAATTTATTCCTGTTACCAGCTTTATATTATTCGATATTATCCAAAAGTATTCATAAATAACGACAATTTATGAATAATTTCCGGATCGAATCATAATCAACCAACGATACACACCATTCGGAATTCGAATTATTCAACAGATTTGTCATTCGAGTAAAATAATTTCCTATTTAAATCATAAGCAATTAAAAGAGGTAAAGTATGAATATGATTTTATGAATGAAATTATTATCTAAATATAATTAATTGCTCGTCAATATGAATCATATTATTTTGTTACTACGAAAGTCAATCATATTTTTCACTTCAAAATTATTTCAAATAAAATGTTGGATGAAAATCGATATATACATATAAAATATATTGAATGGAAGAAAATGCATTATCGTCGAAATACAGCAGACAGGAAGAATGTATGGTAAAACGGAATGGAAATTTAATTTATTTCTCTATTTCAAAAAAACGAAAACTTGTTTTCGGCAAACCATTGTGTGCCTAATTAGGTAATCGTCTTTTTTCCAAATTAATAACTTCACAATTTTCATCCAATTTTTAAATGCATTAATTAAAAAATTTAAAAATTTTTAATTGATTAATTTTTATCATATGCTCTTTCGACACTCATTATCACTTAGAATAATTATGAATTCTATTGTTTTTCATCTTCGTCGTTTACTTATTATTATTGTTTTCTTATTAGTTACTATTATTAATTATTGCTCAGCAGTTAATTAATTATCCTGAAACAAACTATATCCTTAAAATTAATAACTTTACATTTTCAGCTAATTTTTAAATGCATTAATTTAAAATTTAAAAGTTTTTAATTGATTAATTATTACCATATGCTCTTCCAACACTCATTATCACTTAGAATAATTATGAATTTTATTATTTTTTATTTCCATCGCCGCTTACTTATTATTATTATCGTTATTATTGTTTTCTTATTAGTTACTATTATTAATTATTGCTCGGCAATTAATTAATTCTTTTAAAACAACGAATTATATGTACAATCAGGATTTTTGAATTTGCTTTCTTGAATTTTAAAATTAAAGAAATAGTGACAGACAAATCGGAACAATAACATTCTCTTCCGATAGGACGTCTTCAGGATTTCCAGGCCAGGCAAACAAAGCCGCCTATGAGAGCTTAGATAGAATATATGGGAGGAAAGGCAGATATTGAGGCAAATAATAAGAAAAGCTAACAACCGAAAAGAATGTATGAGTGAAAGATTGAGAGCGATGAAATAACACGCTTATATAGGAGGTGATAGAATTTGCTAAAATTTGCGAAATAGTACATCATCATATGGACAGAAAAAATAAACCAAACGTATAATAAGTATATAAGCCAGATGTGCACGTGGTTGAGACAGTACGTTAGTTTAAATGAGAGAGATAATAAGAGATAGAGATAGTTTAAGTGAGAGATAGATTTAAAGAGTGTGGAGATAATGGGGACTGCAAATAGTAGCAGTGAATAAGAGTAAAACGAGAAGGAAAATAGCGTTTTTTCATAGTCAAACGAAAGAGTGAATTTGTTCCGGAAACCCGGAATTTTCCATCAGGTGGTTCATGTGGGTGATGTCCTTCGGCGTTAATATCATGCATATCTTTTGGCGTTAATATCTCGAACATTTTTTGACTCTACTTTTTTACCGTTTTGGATTGACAAGAAAAACATTATTCAGGACAGGGCATGGCGTGAACATTGTCGGCAGATATGTCATATACGATTTGAATTGAGCTGAGAAACGTTAGTTTCTTATACTGCGTCTTCCTCATATCTTTTGGAACACTCCGTGTATCATGCTGAATGTTTGAGGAAGAAAAGTGTGATGAAATATCGACGATATTATTAGAAAGCTAAACAAGGGTGACAATAATTTTGCGCTGTTCAATTTAATTTTGACCTTTTCTTCATGTTCGCTCCAGTTTGTTAATTTATTGTCTAATTAATTTCTACACAATTTCTTTCCAGTTAATATTCTTCATTGTATTCGGTCAAATAAAAGAACTTTTAAATCTGGCTACTACAGTGCTGCTTCTGGCTTAACTACCATTATTTAAAACATTTAAGGATAACTAACGGTAAGTGTTTCATTTGAAAAAGTTTTAAGAGCAAAATCTTGCATGGGATGCACATCGCTTCTTTTGAGACTGATAAATTGATTAGGCTTTAAGATTTTCGATTGATTTTTCAAATGACTTTCAAATGAAATTTTAAAAAGTTTTATTTCTTTGAAGTACAAGATGTGTTTCATTTGTGAGCAGGCTGAATAATAATATTACATTTTGGCAGGCTTGGTGCAGTAAGAACGAGCAATGATGAATGACGAAAATAGCCAGTTATTGGTAGCATCTACTTGGTCAAGGAGAAAAAAATTTGCATCGATTGGTGTACTCGTTCTGGTCCATTTACTCAATTATATGGATAGGTATTTAATTTTCTTGATTTTATTGTTGAGTTTATTCGAATTTTCTTGCAGTGATACTAAAAGCTACACAACATACAATCGTCTCTTTTTGTGATGTAATTACAGGTAATGCAATCAAATAGAACCTTATAGAAATGTGATGATATCGATTTAGCTAGTCATTTATTTCTGCTCATATACAGTTAAACCATCAATAAAATGTTAGTATGATAAACACACACAAATCTTATGGATATAATGAAATTTAGATAGGATAGAAATTTTAACAGATGGTAAAATGTAAAAGAGTAAAGATTGAGATTTCATAGGATTATTTGGCGTATTTCAAGTTTTCACTTTTCTAAAATTAAATAATAATTTTGGCACATACAGATGACATTGAATTAATGATTAGTAATATTTAAGATATACAATTGCCGGTGTGCTTACCCAAATACAGAAGTATTTTGGTATCGATGACTCAAATGCTGGACTATTACAGGCATACATTTATTGTGTTATGATAACAGTTGACAAATTATAGGCAAAGCTTTCTCTGTATTTTTAAAATGAAGTAAAACAAATTCTCGGTTTAGACTTAAATCTTGTTTTTGTCCTTTTATGACAACTAGCCAAATCGTTCCTTTCAGTTCATTAGTAAATTAAATTTAATGTTTATTAGTTGCACTGTTAGCGTTTCTTGTATAGTTAATGAAGATTAAATCTAAGGTTTATTATATCAATTGAAATCGTGTTGTCTTTAATGATCCTACTATTCTTGTTAGCTAGTGCTTTACTGGTGTGAATTGCTGTATTGAGTAATAAAATTCTAAATTATGAATGAAATAAGTGAATTAAACTATGCCGATTTTCAGACGGTGTTCATTGTATTTTACATGATGTTTGCTCCAGTTTTCGGTTATTGTGGTGATAGATACAACCGGAAACTTATTATGGAAATCGGGTTAATTGTTTGGATGATAGCAGTCGTATTATCATCACTTTGTTCCCCCGTCGTTGGTATTTCTGTTTTGTTTTTATTTTGGTTCATAGGTACAATTATTCATTTGTTGATGGTATATGATCAACTGATTTCATTGATCTTTGCTAATTTTTCTAAATTTTTTTTAGCATATATATCTATTTATGTTATGTCGGGGTCTTGTGGGTATTGGTGAAGCATCCTATGTAACCGTTGCACCAACAATAATTGCTGATATGTATGCTGGAAATCAACGAAGTACTGCTTTGATGATTTTCTACCTCGCAATACCAATTGGAAGGTCGTTTTTTCAGTTTCATTCTCTATTAATGGAAATTTCGCCGAAATTTCAATTTTAAAAAAAACACTAACTAAAATCTGATGATTCACTTTACCCACACTGACTTCGGCTGCATAATAATTATTTTTAGTGATGCGTTCAAGGTTACATCCAACGTCCAATTATTTCCTCATCAAGACACATTATTGGTCAAATAAACTTTTCATGATACTCATCTTATTGAAATATTTGTGCGGAATTTCGCATTTTTAACTATAAATTTTAAGAATTTATCCGTAATTTCAGTGGATTGGGATACGCTACTGGTACAGCTTTTTTACTATGGACAAATACTTGGCAGTGGGGTGTCCGCGTAACATCTATCTTTGGTATCGTATCCTTTTTATTGCTATTTTTCATTGTTGAAGAACCAGTACGTGGTGAAGCGGGACACGCTACTCCTCGGTCTTCGTCTTTTATTGCAGACATTAAATATCTGCTCAGTGTGTTCGTTTTTTTAATAAATTTTTCTTATTCATTACGGTTTTTTCTAATAGCAAAGGGTAAGATTTTGTTCAGCGGAATTGGAACTTGTGTTCTCTCTTATTTATCAATAGCTCTCTATTGGTTAAGTGATAACTGATGGAAGTATACTGGAAATTATTAAGAGTGCAGAAGTTGGAGGCACACTTCAATTGTTTCAATATAGAAAAATGTATCCTCATTCTTTACTGTTGTTTAAAACGGATTAATTTTTAAGACCGACTTACATTACCACAACTGTTGGATTGACGTCGGTGGTGTTTGTGGTTGGATGCTTGGGATGGTGGACACCGACGTTAATGCAGTATGCATGGGCCGTACATCATGGCACCAACTATATTAGTAGTGATGTCAAGGCTGCGTTAGTTATTCTTGCTGCTTTTTATTTTGTTCCAAAATCTTAAGGTAAGTAGTGTGCTATTTCGAAGGTAGTAAGAGATGTGAACGAATTATAGGACAATTGTAATTTTTTTCTGTAGAAGTTATTTTTACTGCATAATTTTTCACATCTATTTTTTTCTAGGACAGGGTTGGTATTTGGGATTATTATATGTTTTGCTGGATTTTTCGGTGTGTTCTTTGGCTCAGCGTTATCTCAAGTAAGATAATTGTATCTATATCAGTTAGGTAACGTGGAAAATAGTCGCTCAGGATTATTGCATTAGGAAAAGTTTTTCCTTTTATAAGTTAATTTTGATACTTTTCATTAAAAGAAATGAGAATTATATGATTTGACAATAATTATTTGTTGCTAAAATTAGATCTAACGATTTCTTTTTCAAAGATTTGGCGATTAGGATTTGGCAATATTCTGAAAAATAAGCATGCTGATTTACATGTCTGCGCTTTGGGTTCGCTGTCAGCGGTACCATTTCTCTATCTTGGTCTTATTTTCTCATCAAAAAATGCAACGTCATGCTGGGTAATATGATTAATTCTTTTCATAAAATGTAAGATTATTTTTAGAATTATTTGAGTAGTTCATAAAAAACACAGTGAAATGTTGATATTTATTTTTTAGATTTTTACATTTTTTGCTGTAATGGGTTGTTGTGTTAATTGGGCAGTCAATATGGATATTTTAATGGTAAGTAGAAAATATATTATTCAATGACATCAGGATTTTATAAGCTGTAGTGTAGTGTATCTACTGTAATGTAAAATGCAGCGAACATTTACCTCCGTAATTGTGCATTTATTTTAATCCAGATTTAGAGTTTCCGATGCTATATAGTAACACATATTATACTGTTTGGTAATTTTAATTCTTTCTACATAAGATTTTAGGACTTCACAAAAGTTTAAATCTTGAGATTCATATTTTTCAAAATCTAATGATTGCAAAAATTTCGTTCTAGTCTATTATAAATTTACGTCGACGATCAATAGCAACAGCTATTCAAACTTTGATTTTACATCTTCTGGGGGATGCTTTCTCCCCATATCTGATTGGACGAATATCGGATGAAATACGCGGTGAGTTTGTAAATTTGATTTCACTGTTTTTTTTTTATATCATTACTATTATACTGATACAAGTGAATTTAAGGACCTATCTTTATGGGGTTGGCAGTGCGTCGAATCCATATCGTATTCCACTACACACATGAACCCTAACTGCTTGTTCATATCATATTAATGACAATTTCTTCCGTAATTATACGTCCACATTTCTCCTCAATAGTTAATTTATCTTCTTCATTTATTTATTTTTTTCCAGGAAATGAGCGATCTACTCTTGCGCATTTTATTGCTCTTCAGCGCTCACTCTTTGTGCCAAATTTTGTGCTTTGTTTCGCTAGTTTGATGTTTATAGTTTCCACTTTTTATATCGATCAAGATAGACGGAACGCCGATGAATTAACGCACAGTACATTTTTATTCTGAAGTCCATTACAGAGATAACGGCTTTTAATAATAAACGAAATGTTTAACATTGCTTTACTTTTCATTTTCTGTTCCTTGTCTCCATTCTTGATGTTTTTTTCGTTGCAGTAGTTTTGCATCTATATACATCAACTTTATTTCAGGCGAACAGCTCGCTACTGAAGATGCTTCGGACATATCACCGTTAATAGATGCTGTTGAGCAGTAACGACGTGAATATATTCAACACGTGTTATGCTTGAGTTTAACATCACTTTTTGCCATAATTTATCAACAAATATTCCGCTACGTGATCAGTTTTGTAGGACGTAACATGCACGTATAAATGTGCGAAATTTCTAGAAATATATTCTTTTTCTCAACCTTTGTAACAGGAAGCTCTTATTGACGATTCTACTATGCGTTATGCATTGCTATTATGTGTATTTACAGCGGAATTTTAACAGTTAATTAAATTCTCTAGAAACGTTGGTCATCTCTATCTGCTTTACAATGCGGTGCTCTTATAAGCTGCGAGTAATTCAAAAAGTATTTTAAAGTAGTTTAAATTGCAAATACGACCAAATTTTTACTGTTTCTTCTTGAATTGATTTTGAATTATTTACAGCAGTCATTCAAGACTACTTTCTGAACATTATGCAGTATTAATAAGGCTTTCCTGTACTGCGAAATAATAAGAGAAACACTTTTTATCAAGGCCCGAGTCTTTAGAGGCGATTAATAGTTTGGTTGAAATACATGGAGAAATGCAGTACATTTTTGTTATATTTCATAATAAAATGTGTCTCACGTACCGAATCATGGGTTCTTCGACGGCAATCGTTGAATTATCCAATTCTACAAGCTTAATTTGGTTCTATTATTTTTAATTCACTTTAACTACTTTCAAATTCATTTCATAAATTTCGGAAAGCCTTACCAGTTGTTAAGTCTTTAATTTGAGCTTCTTTTTCATTCATATTCTTTGTTCCAAACACTCTCCTCTGAACCATTTGTCATATTTTGTCTCATGTAACATGTCGTCGACCAGAGCCGCGCATAATTAGCCAACAGTAATGAGGAAGCGTATTCCAATGTACAGTTGTGATGAGGCAGATTTTATGCTAGCAGAGTGGGCTTCCCGAAAGTTGCCCAATTTGTAAATGAAAATATCCCGAAAATCTCGGAGAGGCAATGAATGTAATGAACCAGATGATTTGACGATTCCACCACTTCCAGTCAATTTCCGGCTCAAGTAATTCTCGACGGACACAAAAAGACATGAATGTGACAGCTACTTTTTCTCATCATGGAAGCATAGAAATCACAACACTCAATAAGAAGCTACAGCTTCAAATGACAGACAATGATTGTTTTGTTACTGGATATTCGTACTAATTTTGAGAAAACCTCAAATATTTGACAAACTTTTCTCTTGTAACTCTTAACTGATCTGAATCCGAGTACGTCAAAAACAAAGACTCATTATTTTAATATTTTATACATAGTAAAATAACAAAAGACTAACAATATTTATCACTTTTTGTTTTAACTCGACGTTCCAGCAACAGTTCATGCAAATTGCCTTCTTGTTGGGCGCGATGTACGGACCCTTTATCGTCCAAATTGATATTTATGTATTTTCCTTTTACAGCAACTTTTGAGTGCTGATACATTTTCCTATAAGTGAATGCAAGTAAATTTAGCGAAGTTTTTCATTAAAAACAGGGAATAAGGTATGGGACGTAATTAGTGTCTTGATACGACAATAGATTTAAAAAAAAAATTTTTTTCCCAAAAATCTTAGCCTCTAAGGAACCTAAGAATATTTTCAGAAATTTCTGATTTCACAAATATTTTTTAGAAATTCAGAACAAGGGAAAACGCGTACACATAGCTTGTTTCACATTCGGCAGCGGATTTTCTATCTTCTTCTGAACGCCAGTCAACTGGTCCCTCTTTTTTGGCATCGGTCCTTAACTGCAAATACGGAAAGAGTTCAGATCTCAGATTTAAAATACTGTAATAGTGTTTGATAATACGAATCAGAAAACGGGAATTTAAATCTGAACCGTCAAATCCTCAAAATTCTTGTGTGCGTAGATTTGAAGTGACAAATAACAGGGCGCAAATATTGATATATTGCATAGTTTACTACCTACGCTGCGGACATCCATTAATATATTTAAACTCTTTTTTTAATGATTCCTTAAATCAATAATGCAGTGATACTTCATATCATTGTTGTAATCGCTACTAGTAACTTCGAGCAAAGTGTCGAAAATTTTCCTATCTCAATCAGCGAACCCCTTACCGATGTTTCTTCACTAACGCTGATTGAAATAAGTTGGCTGCTGACTGCAGGATGAAGGAATTTTATGGGCAAAAGTATAATTTCTGATCCGCTGGCTTTTCGCACTCCAAAATAATTTGTTTTGGAACAGATAAAACTGTTTCTTTGAAACACAACATACCTTAATCATTTCATCAGCTCCCGCTTTCCGACTTGTGACATGTACGTAACCTTCAGCATTAGGTTTCATGCTCAAGAAGAGATTATTTGAAGCAGACTGCATTGCGATTTTACCCTGTGATCAGAATGATAATGCAGCACATCAATTTTGTAACAGAAGCAAAAAATTTGTTCACGAACCGGAATTTAATTATTTAATGAATTACAAAATATACCTCCTGGAAGACTACAATCATTCGTTCCCTCACACCAACAGCATCAGCTGTGGCTATAAGGTTCCCTTCTGAATCCACGCCAACATATTTGCCGAAACCCGTTTTTATGCTGATAAGCATGTCATCTGGTGTTTTTATTAATGTAAGCATCTGAAAAGAATTTTATAAATTAGTGAAGAATTACTGTAATACATGATTTGTTAAGACGGCATTTCTCTTACAAGTAGTCCTATAAGTAAAATATTCCAATCCCGAAGATATTCCTATCACTAAAATATAGCTTATCGTTTAATACTTTCAATCATGACACTTAATGGCAGGACAATCCAAACAAGAGAATAAACGGTAAGTTGGAAGAAATGATAACTTGTTAAACTTGGTCATAAGTTTATAAAAAATGAAATAATCGAGAGGAAAAAAGGATTGCTTAATGAATGCAATATTCAAATATGACAGATGAAGTATTTCTATCTTACCTATAAAATAACAATAGATGAAAACTAAAAATATTATAATAACTCTTAAACACCCCTGCATTACATTTATTTAGAACTAACTTCTTCTGGATTTGGTCCTTCACCAGCCAAATGTGGTCCACCAATCGTAAACCGGCCATTGTCCATAGCAGCTAGGTATGTTCCGGGCATTGTATCACATTCGATGCATATATTTATACCACCCCGAAGATCAGTTTCATCATCTATCGACCTCCAGCCACCTGCACAAATGAATGAGGTGAAAATACAAAATTTTCGTAATAATTGAATTACTGCGGAAAGATCACTATTGGTTTGAAAAAATAAAATGAACCACGAGAGAATTTGCAAAAGTCATGCGCGCAATAAGCACCAATAGGCGATCGAAATTAAATTTATCGACTAATCCTTTCAAGAATTCATATTAGCTCTTTTATCCCAAAAGAACATTTCTATTTTTTTCGGAAAAATATATCAACGATTTGACAATGAGTTATGATATTCAAACAATTTCAAGAATTTATCCGGTTACGTAGTACCAGTAACGTCATAAAACGATCTGCAGTAACCATAGCTGATTAAATAATCCGGACAAAAATCCGCATTAAAGAAAGGATTCTAATTTGGAATTCTGCTTCTCTCTGATTCAAAAACATTTTCAAATTTAAAACTGCAAAACCATTTACCGTGAATCTCAACATCTGGATCAGGCGCCACGTCACGGTCTTTCTCCATTTTCTTCTTTCTCTTCGATTTATCAGATTTAAACCTGCGGAAAATTTTTTTTAAAAAAAGGAAATGTGATTTTATTTTCAAACCGCTAAATTCCTCAAACTTTTTAATCTGATTAAAAACTTATAAGTGCTATGAATGCTTAATTATATAGGAAGCTTTTCCAGAATATTTTTAGAAAATACAAATAGTTCGGACAATTGCAAAAATGATAAAACAAAGAAACTCAAATATTTACAACGATTTGTTTCCTTTGAATTTTATCGGACCTCTTTTAACCGCATGATAAGCATCACTTCTTGAAGTCATTCTCCCTGTAAAATTTCTCACAACCTGAAATTTGCAAATTTCCCAAGCAATCACTCACGCCCTCACTCCCTCACTAAAAACACAACCCAGAAAAGCAACTAGCAAACGCAGTTCGACTATTACGCCACGCACTTAAGCCAATACTTAACCGTTGAAGTATCTCGCTATGAAAATTGTAATCCCGGCGGTAAATGCCAGGAAAAATCAAGTAATGAGGAGATCAGGTTGTTTATTCGTCGATCTAGTAACGTATTTTTTAGGCATAGCTCTGTGCTATATAAGTCTTCAATGGGTCTAAATAAATCTTGCATTATATTTGTCCAGTAAAACCATATTTTTGCGGTGTATGATATTCATTTAAAGTTTGAAGCAAAATTCGAGAATTATGAAAATTAAAAATGACGATAATTTAAAATAGAAATTTATTAAATTATTCTAATAATAATGTATTCAGGATAATTTTTTATCATATATTATGCTCATTTTCCGATTGAACTCATTGAAATAATTTTACGAAATTATTGTTTGATATGTTTCTTCCATCATGAAACTATGATGATGATGATGATGATGATGATGATGATGATGATGATGTTGATGATGACGATAATGATGATATTATGCTCATTTTATTATCAATCATTTTTCGATTGTATTCATGGAATTAATTTGATGAGATTAATTGTTTCATATGTGTCTTCTATAATGAAATTATGATGATGTTGATGATGATGATGATGATGATGTTAATGATGACGATAATGATGATACTATGCTCATTTTATTATCAATCATTTTCGATTGAATTCATTGAAATAATTCGATGAGATTAATTGTTTCATATGTGTCTTCTATAATGAATTTATGATAATGTTGATGATGACGATAATGATGATTGTGATAATGTACGTAATCTTTTAATGAATGAAGCAAAAATTAATTTATTCATCTCTTTTAAAAATAGAACTTCATTAGATTATATGAGGAAAAAAAAAGAAATGCCATTAGAAATTGATTCAATCATCATCACTCGCACTATTAACATCGTCGATATTATCACAACTGACACCACTTTCATCAATTCCGGCTGTAGTTTCGTTAGTATCATAGTTTCTTGGTTGACATTCAGAAAGATTTATGCGTACAAGATTAATCTGTAAACTATTATGAACTTCAATATATACATATATATGAAATAATTGTACCGATACTCATGATCTTTAGATAATAATTGTACCGATACTCATGATCTTTAGATATTAATTGTACCGATGCTTATATGTTGAACATATGTGAAATATGCTTAATCAGTAAAAAAGAAATAAGTATGGTTGTTAGCAGGTTACTGATAAAAATTATCAATAAAAAGAATTAGGTTATTGATAAAAGTATCACTGAAAAGATAAATTATTGATAGAAATATTATTAAAAAGATAGGTTCTTGATAAAAACATTTGCAAAAATTTCACTATCAATTTATCAATAAAAATAAGATACTGTAAAGGAAAAATGTGCTGATAATACAATATCCTATCAGCAATAATTCATGTATGATACTATATGATATTTATTCACTTATTAAATATATTAAAAAAATTGAACAAGTATTAATTATGTGTCTTTTTAAATATATATGCGTTTTTATATCTGAAAATTGAAAGGAAAATCAATTATGCCGGATAACTGAATAACCTGTTGTTCCGGATAAATCCACGGTTTCCAATTAGGATAATTATTTTGCTTCCAATGTTCATATTTCAAGCAAGCTTTATGTAACTTTTTGATAAGCTTTGGTCCAACAACTTTAGCCAAATGATTGGTTAGCCATTTTGGTACTTTTCCTGAAAAAAAAATATATATCCTGATATCCTGAAATTTCAATCTGATGTTGTAAAGCTAAGTAATTTGTAGGAATTTTAAAATTAAAAAAAATAGACAGACTTTATTATATAGTTAAATTTAATGGTAACAGAATTATTATTACCTTCATCTGAAATAAGAAATAAATTATTTTAAGTAAGCAAATTAGCTAATTTTACGGAATTAAAATTATGAAGAAGAAACAATGATTTTGCAGAAAAGAAATTTTTCAACACTTTTTCCAACAAATTCTTTTCTTATTCATTTTGCTCGATTTATTGATTTCTTTTGTTTTTGTGAAATTTCTTTTGTTTTTGTGAAAATTAAAAATTGCTTTAAAAGAGAAAAATTATAATTATTTTCTAATAAAAGAAAAAATTTTATGATATTACTAAAAATTACAGCAAAATAAATCTAAAATCTAATTGATATTTGTTTAAAACACTGAAATGAATCATTATTCCTATTATTATTAATTATCATTATTATAGCACATTATAACAACCGTTATTATTATCATCATTTAATAATATTTTACTTCAATAAAATCAAACGAATCATCATTATATAACTAATAGGAATTAAATAATTCTTAATCGATAAATAAATTCTAATTAAAAACATTAAATTAAATAAGAAATAATAAATGAAATTATGATAAAAGAAAGGACTTAATGAACATATCTCTTGGATCTGAATGATTGATGTAGGTAATTTGACAACCATTATGACCCATATCACGGATATAATATGCTGTTAAATATACAATACCTCTGATATATCCTTTAATAGGTGGATATTTCTAAAAATATACATTTCGTTTTTTCATCTAATTTAATAAAAATATAACTGTAGTAGGTAAGAAATCGACAATATTAATTATATCGGAATAATTTACTTAGTAATTATTATAATATTTGACCTTTCGATTTATTATTAATTTCAACTTCGTTAATCTATTCGATCACATATTAATATTGCCATAAATTTTTAACTCAATCATTTAATTTCCATCAAAAATTTCATTGTTAATAAATTTCTAACAAAAAATTATACTGTAATCAGAAATTTCAATTGAAGGATAAAGAAATAAATTTCATTGGCTGATAAATACATTAATAATAAATAATTTAATTTATAACTTAATTATTAATTAATAAATATTAATCGTAAATAAATGAATAAATAATTAATAATCAATAATTGATTATTAATTATTAACAATAGTATTAATTGATAACAATAAGTACTAATAGCAATAAACATAATAATAAGTAATAATAAACATAAATAAATAATAATTAGTAACAACGAATAATAATAAGTAATAATAATAAATATTATTAAATAATAATATATTTATTTCTCATTATATTCATTATAATTTTATGTTCCGAAATTTTTTAATAAAATTATTTAACTAATACTTCTTCATCTAATTTTAATTAAAACAATACACTTTCATCACTAACAAAAATATAAACTTAAAAAAAAATGCCTTAAATAAAATATTGTTATATATTTAATGAATTATTAATTAATATATGTATATAAATTAATTAATCCTACCTCATGAGACACTGAATGACAACAAATATATTTCTCCTTACCATTATCCAACCATGATCGTTGGAGAACAAAATCTCGTACCTGCAACGGTGACATACCTACTGAAATTAAATTTGTTAATGGGAAAAAATCTCAAAGTACTTCATATTAAATAATATAATAAAGGTAAAACAGATAAACAGTTTCAGATGATATTTGCTAAAAGCATTTGGAAACATTTTCATTTGCTTATTTTAAAATAATAATAATAATTTAGTCTAAATTAAATGTCCACATTAATTATATTAATTTTTTCTTAATTAAGAAATTAAGGAAAAAACTGTTCACAAAATTTATTCTTTAATAATTTTAGTTAACATATAAAATAATAATTTAGTCCAAATTAAATTTCCATATTAAATATATGCATATCGTATTGATTAATTATTTCCTAATTAAGAAATTAAGGAAAAAACTGTTCACAAAATTTATTCTTTTAATTTGGAATAATTTTAGTTTACATAATTCTCTTTATTTTCAAAACTTATAATTAAATCTTTCTCTTACTCAAATCTCTCTCTCTCTTTCAAGACATATTGAATTTTAATATTTCCAGTATTTAAATTACTGAAACTTAAATTGCACAATTTTTATTATTTTGTGGATCATATTTTATTGGAACGAATAAATGAGAAGTAGGAGAAAAAAATTATGAAATGGATTAAAATATTACCAGCACAATAACAAATATCATTATTAGGATTAATTAATCCTATATCAATTGTTTTACGATGATATTTATCCCATTTAGGCCTATATTGTGGATCATGTAAAACATCATAAACTATTGATGCTGACATATTGGTTAGTATTGCATTCGCCTGGAATTATATTATTTGATATTTTGTAATTTAATATTATTAAATTGAAATGATCTGACTTTTTCTTTTCAGAAATTTCTTACCATATAAATTATAAAATTATTTATTCGTCCCTACTTTCTTTTTTTCAAATTAAATTTATATTAATTATTTAATTCATTAATTTTAAATTCTACTTTTGTCTTTTCTTTTTTATTTATTTCAAAATCAATCGATATAAATTAATTTCGAAAACAAAAAATTAAGGAAACTATGAAGAAAAAAATTTTTGATAGAATATTTTAAAAATATAAAATTAAATTCAGCATTGTAAAATTAATCAAAAATTTTTATCAAATTACAAATAAAGATTCGTGGTTTTTAAATCTTCCACATTTTATACTAAAATCAAGCTATTATATTTTAATTAGATACTATAAAATAAATTAATAAAAAATTATAGAGAATACAAAAATTCCTATTAATTCTCATTTGATTTGATTTATCAATTCTAATAAATTAAATACTATAAAATAAATTTATAAAAATTCATGGAGAATACAAAAATTCTCATCAATTTTCATTTGATTTGAATTATTAATTTTGATTAATTAAATGCTATAAAATGAATTAATAAAAATAAAAAATGATGGAGAATACAAAAATTCTTATCAATTATCATTTAATTTGAATTATCAATTCTGATTAATTGAATACTATAAAATAAATTAATGAAAAATCGTAGAGAATACAAAATTCTTATCAATTTTCATTTGATTTAAATTGTTAATTCTAATCGATTGCAAACTTCTAAGATATTCTCAGAAACGATAATTTTCATTTCACTTCTTCCCTTTTTCCTGTTTTTATCATTTCAAAGATTAAATTTTCCCTTTTTAAATATAATTTAATTTCTCTAAGCAAATATTAATTCAACAAATAATAATTGCATTTCTACGTTTCATTCACTATAAAACTAATTTATGTTAATTAAAAATAGCAAATACTTTAATCATATGAAGATTAGATTCCGGAACTGGTTTAGTCCATACTTTAATAATACCCTTATTATATGCAATATTCCAACCGGAATGATTTTCGCATAATTCATTGATATATTTTAAATCAGTATCATCCAAGATTTTTACATGATTAACACGTATGCCACATTTATAATAATGATTCTCTTCGTTATCATCATTATCTATAATAATTATTATTATTAAGAGTTTTTTTATACGAAAAAAAATCAGTAAATTATAAATAGGTAAGTAATTAACCGTAGGAACAATCAATTAATAAATTAGGGAATTTGTAATTAAAAAATAATCCAAAAAATAATCTAAATTATAAAATAGGAGAAGTAATTAATCAAATGAGATAATAAGTTGAAGTTTTAAATTTAGGATATTTTTTGACTAAATAATAATAAGCTAAATTATAAATAGATAAGTAATTAATCGAATGAACAATCTAATTAATAAATTAGAGAATCTGTAATTATAACAAGTTTAATGAAAGACAAAAAATTAGTATAATTTCATGATTATTCGAACAAATAAACAAAATGAGGAATTTGATAGCAATTAGCAAATTTAGCATAAAACAATAAGTAAGAGGTAAAGGAAAAACAAATTTAAATCAAACCTTTGGTCATAGTAATTCAGTGACACCGAAAATATCGATTGAATACTAAGTAATCTTTATATTTGATTAATTAATATATTTATTGCGTTTTAATAAAATAAATCTGAAATAGAAAAAACATAAATAAAGTTTTAATACTATAAAATTTTAAGAATGAGACAAAACTATTATTATAATTAATTAAAATTATTTACTAAAAACTAAATAACTAAAATTAAATAACTAAAAAACAACAAAAATGAGAGTGATAAATGAGATGACAAAAGCATTATCATAATTTATTATAAATGACAAAAGTATTATTATAAATTATTAGAAATGACAAAATCATTATTATAATTTATTATAAATAACTAAAATTATTAATTAAAAACTAAATAACTATATTATAAATAACTAAAATTATTAACTAAAAACTAAATAACTCTTTATTTTCTTATATTATAGTATAGATTCTAATTATACACGTATATAATTAACACAATACTTAATTATAGAAATACATTCATTTAAATTTGCACACATATACATATATTTAAATGAACTTGGACAAATGTACAGCTTAGTATTAACATTAACGTACTCTTTAAAAAATTCAAAAAAATGATGGAATAAGAATAAAGGTAAAATGACGTGTACTAATTAGCCTGTTAATATGATTGTTAATTAGTCTATAAATAAGAAAAAGGAGGAAAACATAAACTTCAATCTTCCTCACTTCAAACTTCAATTTTAAACTACTCATTAGTCATATGCTCAATTTGTTATTTGCATGCTTTAATTTTACAACCTAATTATTTTCATTATCATTATTATTCAAATGAATAATTATACCTTTCCTTTCTCTTTCTCTCTCTCTCTCTCTTTTATTTCCAAAAGAAAAATAACAACTTATTGTTTACCCAAAATTTTTGCAAATTAATTATTATTATTATTATGAAAAGAAAAGTATCCTAAAAGTTGAACAAAAATTTAAAACTTCTAATTTATACTTAAAAAATTTTGAAGTAAATTTTATTTTAATAAGTGAAAATTATCAAAAGGGTTGCAAATAAACAAAAGCAGCTTATTAGCATCCTAATTATGTAAAAAAGATTTTCCAATCAACATCTAATATTTATAATATCACCTTGTAAAATGATAAAATTTTGGCTGGAATAAAATAATTAGTGATAGTAGCATTATTCTGATAATAACAATGGTAGTTAACAATTAATAATAATAATTGGCAGTAATGATAATAATAATTCCATTTTACATAAACACAAAAACAACTTATCAGCATCCTAATTATGTAAAAAAGGCTTTTCAACCAACATCTAATATTTATAATATCACCTTGTAAAATGATAAAATTTTGATTGGAATAAACTAATCAGTAATAGTAGCATTATTCCGATAATAATAGTAATTGATAATAATAGTAATTAACAATTAATAATAATAATAATTAGTAAAAATGATAATAACAATTGCATTTCACATTAAAATTTATTTCGATATTTGAAAATTTTTCTAAATGCTACATTATCATCTCTTCAATTTTTTCTACTTTCCTATTTCTTTCCGATGATAATGCTAGTAATTAACAATTAATAATAATAATAATAATTAATAACAATGATAATAATTATTTTGATATTTGAAAAATTTTCTAAATGCTATATTATCATCTCTTCAATTCTTTCTACTATCCTATTTTATCGTTTATCATTTTATTCCTTTTCCTTTTTTCCCCGTCTCCCCGTCCCCCCCCCCACGTTCACAAATAATAATTTTCACGGGACATAAATTATCTTACCATTTTAAGGTAATAAATAATGGGAGAAATGATAAAAGAACCGATTCGTACTGAATTTGACAGATACAGTAAAAAATTTTTTGCACTGCATATCTATATATATCTATATATATCATATATGCATTTCTATATAAACATAAAATTTCAAAATGTTAAAATTTTCTATTAAAAAAATTTATGATAAAATGAAGAAATCATTTTTACAAATGGCAAACTAATAATTTATGTAAATGATAATATTTTACATTTTTTTATTGCATGTTAAGAATGCATGAAAAATGCGTGCAAAGTGCAGTAACATATGTAAGCAAAATGCAGTAACATATGCATGCAAAATGCAGTAACATATGCATGCACAATGCGGTAACATATGCATGCAAAATGCAGTAAATAAGCTTGTAAAATGCAGCTTGTAAAATGCAGTAACATATGCATGCACAATGCGGTAACATATGCATGCAAAATGCAGTAACATAAAGATATAAGGTATATATGAAAAATAAATAAAGTATAGCAAAATATGCAAAATACAGTAACGTAAAGTTATAAAAAATTAATTAAATGATAAGTAAATTTAAGTTTTGAAAAAATTTTTATTTATTTATTTATGTGCATGCAAAATAGATATATGGAAGATAAAATATGTTAGCTTATCATAAATTGCAATGATTTATTGTTATCAGTAATTTGCCTAAAGTTTCCCGTAATTTTCTTGATAATTCCTTTTTTTGAAAAATATTCAAATTACAATAGCGCGTTGAATGATTACCTTCAATTTTATCATTTATTGATAAATAAGAAAATTTCATTCCTAGAATTAAATTAATTGAAAAAGATATAAAAAGAAACCGATCAAATGATTTAGAAGGTATGATATTATGAAATTATACCAAATGATATTATGACATTTGTATTATTAATTTATTTCATTTTTGCTTTATACCTTTACCAACTCATCCAATTATGAATGATTACAGTTCATGTAATTTTCACTTATAAGATTGTAATTCACGTAATCTAAACGTAATAGATTGTAATTCACGTAATTTTCACGTAATACATTGTAATTCACGTAACCTTCACGTAATAGATTGTAATTCACGTAATTTTCACGTATAAGATTGCAATTCACGTAATCTTAACGTAATAGATTGCAATTCATGTAATTTTCACGTAATACGTAATAGATTGTAATTCACGTAATTTTCACGTAATACATTGTAATTCACGTAACCTTCACGTAATAGATTGTAATTCACGTAATTTTCACGTATAAGATTGCAATTCACGTAATCTTAACGTAATAGATTGCAATTCATGTAATTTTCACGTAATACGTAATAGATTGTAATTCACGTAATTTTCACGTATAAGATTGTAATTCACGTAATCTTAATGTAATAGATTGCAATTTGTGTAATTTTCACGTAATAGATTGTAATTCACGTAACTGGTCGCGTATATTTTCATTATATTGCTATTCATACTATAAAAAATTTTTTGCATATCATATGTTAAATATTCAACAATGGCGAGAATTTTCAACAAAATTTTTAAAACACTCAAATGTTTTTTGTTTCAATTAATTTTTAGAATTATTTAAATGGTTTAAATAAGAGAAAAAATAAAGAGCGAAACAAAGTGAAGAAATTATTTGAAAAATATCAATTAAAAATAAGGAGAAGAAAGAGGAGAGAGAGAGAGAAAGAGAGAGAGAGAGAGGTTGGCATTTATAGAAATTCTTGTTTTTCCTTCCCTTTTTTTTTCTTTTTTTCTTTTCCTCTCTCTCTCTCTCTTTTATTTCGCCTTATTTCATAATAGAAATATTGAAAAAAGCTTTAGCACCAGCTTCATCCCATATTCGTCCTTCCTTCATAAAAGCCATATTGAAAAAGAGAATGTAATAAAATTTCCCATACTTCAGATATATGTATAATAATAATAATTATTTTATATTTCATTCAAAAGACAAATTGAAATTTAAAATGATATTCTTCAATTTAAATACAAATAATCAATTACTAATCGATATTTTCAATTTAAGTAAATATTAAAATGCACATAATCAATTACTAACCGATATTTTCAATTTAAATAAATAATAAAATACACGTAATCAATCACTAATCGATATTTTCAATTCAAATAAATATTAAGATACACGTAATCAATTACTAATCGATATTTTTCAATTTAAATTAATATTAAAATACACGTAATCAATCACTAATCGATATTTTCAATTTAAATAATTATTAAGATACATAATATAGTTAATTACTAATCGATATTTTCAATTTAAATTAATATTAAGATACAAATAATTAATTACTAATCGATATTTTCAATTTAAATAAATATCAAGTAAGCAAAAAAGATAAAATAGCAAAAACAAAAATAAGTAAGTGGAAAAGATATTCGATTTTTCACTTTTTATCTTTCTCTCCCTCTCACTCATTCTCTCTCTCTCTCTTCCTCTCCTTTACTACTAAATATGACAAAATTTTTTAAAAATTCAGCACGAAATTTTGACAATACGACAGATTGAATTATCCTTTATTCAAACTAATAATTAATGTTTGTTTCAAATTAATTAATGATTAATGCTCCTTTCAAATTAATTCACTTTTGCTTTATTTGTTGCTATTACTGTTGTCATTATTATTGTTTATTAATAATAATTATTATTAATTATTAATTATCACTATTATCATCATCATCATTGCTTCATTTTTTTTCCACATGTAACGGATAAACAATCGAACGGATATGAAAAAGCAATGATAGGAAGAAAAAAGGGAAAATAATAATTCAGCTGGTCAAACATTGCAAAAGAGGATTTGAACATTTAATGAATTTCCCCCGCTCTCTCGTTCTCATCAGTATCCCCGATTTGTACTTTTAGTAAACAATCCATTTGCAGAATAATAATTTGATGAAGAGATTATTCGGTATTCAATTACTAACTGTCAAATTTAACATTTGCATATTGCAAACTATAATTTGTTGACGAAATTATTATGTACTAATTGTAGAACATAACATTTGCATAATTTAAATTTTATTGATTAAAATGCATCTAAAGTATGAGATGAGATAAAACAAAAGAAAAAGAAATAATTATTCATATATTTATGGTTAAATGGAAATTCGTGAAAAATTTAAATTTAGGTAAGAATTTAAAAATGGATAGAAAATGGATTAATTTA